GAGAGAGAGAGAGAGAGAGAGAGAGAGAGAGAGAGAGAGAGAGAGAGAGAGAGAGATGTCTACGTTTTTGAACATCATGTCTATCCTCAGCAAGAGAAACAAGGGAGAAGGGGGGAGAAAGTTGGAAAGCTTGGGAGAGTTAGGTCACAAGGAAAGGGCCCAGTAGGAAAGAAACATCGAATGGATGCGCATTGACAGCTCTTTCAGCTGCATGGTGGAGGCCAATGCGACTTTTTCAATTTGCAACAATAGGGCTGTTTCCGATGTTCCATAGTAGAGTTATGTTTGGTGGACTCCTGCATTTTTCAGAGTGGATGCATGATGGAAGCCCGCGGCTAGACCCGCACCTGAGCCGCCAATGAGTATAATCCTCCCCCCCCTACAGGTTCTCAAGTCGCGACGACTTGCGACATTTCTGACCCAGTCCGAAGGGCGGACCAGACGACGAAAGTCGTCGCGACTTGAGAACCTGTAGGGGGGGGAGGATTATACTCATTGGCGGCTCAGGTGCGGGTCTAGCCGCGGGCTTCCATCAAACGACGAAAGGATGATCGTCCCAGTCCGAGTTACTCTTAACAGAAGAGGATTGGTTCTTTTCTGACCCTCCTTCTGAAAAGAACCAATCCTTTTGTGATCCTCCTCCTTGCCCCTGAAGATTAAGATTACTCAATGTCATGGTGCACACCATGACATTGCAAAGTGGCACAACTTCAGGACTCCATTCCTTGCAATTGAATAGGGGTCGCAAACCGAGAAAGGGGAGACGGAAGGAGGTTCGGGAGGGAGGAACAAGGAACCAAGGAGTGCAGGTAAGGTATGGGGTCCCGAAGTTGTGGCGCACTTTGCAGCTGCTGGAAGTGGAGACGAGAAATAAATCTCTATCTCGACATCAAGCAGCAGTTATCTGTTGAAGACGAAGTTGAATCGCTGCAAGCGGATCAAAAGGAGGACGTATAACGGAGGGAGAAAGGAAAGTGCCTCATAAAGGACAATGCTGCGGCAATGAGCGCTCGAGGAAAAGGGACTCAGGGCTTGTCTAAAGGGATGGACCCCCCTTCCTTACAGCTGACAGTGAAGATTACAAGAACTACAATCGCTGCTCTCTCTCTCTCTCTCTCTCTCTCTCTCTCTCTCTCTCTCTCTCTCTCTCTCTCTCTCTCTCTGTGTCTCTGTGGATGTGCAGGGAACTGCAAGAAGGCGACGAAGAGAGAAAGAAGGGGAGGTGGGAGAGGAAGGAAGAGAAGACTTAATAGTCGCATTTGAAGCAATGTAGTATTCCATTGCCGAAGCGCGGATTGGCACCTTGATGATGTGGCACTTGCAGCCTTCGGCTCTCCGATGCGAGGACAAAGAGGTTGGAAGAGCTCCTTCTCGCCAGTGTGCATAAATTTTGGGAAAAATGATAATCAGTAAGTACTGCATTTGCAATTTTGCATCCTTCCACAAGACGCAGTGGCTTACTTATATTCTTGCTATACCTATCCAGGCAACCTAAGCTCTTTTCGTCGCCACGACGACAGGTTGGATAGAGTCCTTCCTTTGCTGAGTCGATGGAGTGCTGGTCGATGGGGAGGAATGTGGGAGAGGCCTGGCACCTTGATTCTGGGTGAGGGAGAGGCCCTGGGGCTTTGGACACTGGGCTGCGTCTTTTTGACCAGGTGCCTTTCATACTGAAGTACGGGAAAACAGCGCCGTACTGTCGCGATTTCGATTGCAAAAGTGCAATTCACACTGGAGTTTTTGAAAACAAACAGGCCAATCATTGGAGTCCGAAGAAATTTTATCCTTGGATAAAGTCTGCGCCTCTTTCCATGCCACTGAATCTTGGCAGCAGACCTTTTTCTAGTTCTATTTTTGGCACTTTGCAGGTTCAGTGGACCTAGCTTCCAAGCAGGGCAAGTGCAGGGCAAATGCCGGTAATCTGGACATCATCTGCAGCAGTGCCTCTGCAGGCATCTGGAGGCAATCTGTAGGTAGTCTGCACGCCATCGAGAGATAATAGGCAGCACATGCAGGGAATCTGCAGGGAATCTGCAGGATGTCTGCAGGACATGTGAAGGCATCTGGAGGTAGCCTGCAGATCATCGGGAGATAATCGGCAGCATGCGCAGCATATCTGCATTGAATGTGCATTGCATGTGCAGTGAATCTGCAGTGAATCTTCAGTGAATCTGCCGGACACGTGCAGGTATCTGGAGGCTTCTGGAGAGTGTGCAGGCACCTATAGGCTTCTGGAGATTGTCTGCAGAAGTCTACGCTTATCTGCAGTTGCGTATAGAGATCATCTGGGCCGTGTGTGTGATTGCTTGGTTCTGACTCCTGAGGCATCTACAGGTAATCTGCGGGCATCTAAAGATAACCTGCAGGCATGGAAACATTCCTAAGGCGAGCGGCGTGACTGACACCTACCGTAGTTTTTAAAATGATCAGTATGGTTCTCCTGTTAACACAGAAAATGCTATGTAAAACACAGGCCGCATTCGAAGAACGAGAAAAAAAAAAAATGTTAGAGTTGTATGAACTGCAGGCAACCTCCTGCAGGCTTCTAAAGATAATCTGCAGATGCATCTAAACGAGATAATGTGCAGATGCATCCAAAGCTACTGTATGTGCAGATGCATCTGACGCTAATCTGCAGACTATCTGCACCGATCTGCAGATGCATCTAAAGAGAATCTGTGGGCATCTGGGTCTAGGGTTCAGCAGGTGGGGGGGAGCATCTGCCTGCTGGGCGACTGCAGGCAGTTGTGGACATTCGCAGACTACCTGCGAGGGCCTCTGCAGGGCCCCTGCAGGCCTCTGCAGGGTAGCTGTAGACATTTGCAGGCGCAATATTGCAGGGCATTGCAGGCGCAAAATTTGTATCTTGGAGATCTTGCGAATACACTAGAAGTCCAAGATCAACTCGCTAGAATCGAATCTGCTATGACCTGCCGCGAAAGAGTTGGATCGCTTAGTTCGATTTCGATCTACAGGCGCGGAAGATGGCTGGTTGTCCGGACAACCCAAGTCTGAAATATGCAGAAGGTAGGAGAACGTAGGTTGGTCGGTTACCCCTTGGTTTGGGGAGGAAGGGCGAGGGGGTAGGAGGGAGGACAGAGCAGGCAGGGAGAAGAAAGGGGGAGGAAAAAGGGACCTGGGAGTGGGGTGGGGGTGTGGATGGGGGGGTGGGGGGGTGGGGGGGTGGGTAGGGGTGTGCGTGAGGGCGTGGATGCAAGTGAAGATGGAGGGGGCAAAGGACAGGCTTGTCGTCCTTGCCTGTAGTTATGAGGGAGAGACGATGTGGTCCTAGGAGGAAGTAGGTTGGTCCGTTGCCCCTCGGTTTGGGGAGGAAGGGTGAGGGGGTAGGGAGCGCAGAGCAGGCTGGGAGCGGAAAGGGGGAACAGGGGATCTGGGAGTGGGGTGGGGGTGTGTGGATGGGGGGTTGGGGGGGGGGGGGGGTAGGGGTGTGCGTGAGCGTGTGGGTGCAGGTGAAGATGGAGGTGGCAAAGGTCCAGGCTTGTCGACCTTGCCTGTACGACGATGTGTTCCTAGGAGGAAGTAGGTTGGTCCATTACCCTCGATTTGGGGAGGAAGGGCGAGGGAGTACGGAGCACAGAGGAGGAGGCGAGCGGAAAGAGGGAAAAAGGGATCTGGGAGTGCAGTGGGGGTGTGGATGGGCATCTGCGGTTCCTAGGAGGAAGTAGGTTGGTCCGTTACCCCTCCATTTGGGGAGGAAGGGCGAGGGAGTACGGAGCACAGAGCAGGCGGGGAGCGGAAAGGGGGTGGATGGCGGGTGGGTAGGGGTGGGTAGGTGTAGGTAGGGGTGTGCGTGAGGGTGTGGGCGCGGGTGGGGATCGAGGTGGTTAAGAACACAGGCTTGTCGACCTTTCCTGTAGTTATGAGCGAGAGACGATGTGGCCCGTAATATTTGTTAGTGTTGGCTCTACAGAGCAGTTGTTGGAGTTTACTGTGCAGTCAATTGGAATTTACTGTGGAAGCGATTGCAATTTACTGTTGGAATGATTGGATCATTGGAATCAAGTAAATTGTGCGACCGATCAGAATTTTCTACTTAGTAATTTACTGTGCGACCGGTCGGAATTTTCTACTTAGTAAGTTACAGTGCGGAATTTTCTACTTAGTAATTTACTGTGCGACCGGTCAGAATTTACTGTGTTGATTGATCACAATTTGCTGTGGATCTGCTGGATTTAGGAAAGGAAATGAGTGGAATGACAGTTGACGTTTTTGAAGTTCTTCCCCCTCCCTTCCCCACCCCCCTCTTTGCTTTCAGGTAGAAAGACCGTATCCTTTGTCTATAAAGCTGTCTTTTAAACTTTTTTTTTTTTTTTTTTTTGGAACTTTTAATCTAATGTAATGGCTGGATCACCGCGTTCTCTTGACAGTTAAGTGTGTATCTGAACTTCTGAAGCATGATTTTTTAATTTTTTTTTTTTTTTTTTTTTTAGTTATAAAATTTCCAAGAATGATTTCTAGCTCAGGTCTTTGCAGCAGTTCTAGTTAGATTCATTGGATCAATCTTTTTCTTTTTTTCGTTGGATCTTTTTTTTTTTTTACTTTTGTTTTGTGATTGTCAGTCGTTTGCCAGTTTTTTTTTGCCAGTTCGTTAATTAAGATGTCAAGTTGTCAACGTTACAAGAAAAGAAACAATTAAAAATTTATTAAAAAATTAAATAAAATAAAAAAAGCTTGTTGCTGTTGCTGTCCACTTGGGACTGAGATAAGTCTCCACAGCGGCACCTTTTTTTTTTCTATTGGTCCTTTTTTCTTTTTCTTTTTTAACGGTCCTGGCTCTCGTCTATTCTAGGAAGTTTCAGTCTGGTTCCTTTCCCACTGCAAGTTATAACTTATAATATTAAAACACTTTCTCTGTTACGAACATTTACACCAACGCTTCCTCCCGTGAAGGCGGAAGAGGACAAAGGACCCTTGATCAGCCTATTTTTTTTTAATATATTTTATGATTTTTTTATCTTTTCTTTTTTTTTTTCTTACATTGATTGCTCCTCGTAGGAGGATTGACTGTAAAGCTAGTGTCATTTCATTCTTGTGTTCCTTTCCTCCTTTTTTTACCTTTTTAAATTCACATGGGCCGGGGTTGTATTCCTCTCAGCCAGCTTGATTAAAAAAAAAAAAAAAAAAAAAGAGACTGTCTTATCCACATGTGACCCCATAGCATCAGATTCCGTCAGACGGACCTGAAGTTCTCCGTCTGAAGCTCAGCTAAGCACACAGAGAAGGGGTACCCCAAAGAAAGCAAGCTTAAAGTAAAGAAAGTCACGAAAGGGATATAACAGATCTATTTCTGCTCCACGATGCTTGCTGCTATAAATAGCTCATCTCAAGTCAAGAAAGGGATATAACAGATCTATTCTCCTCCATGATGCTTGCTGCTATAAATCTTTCATCTCAAGTCTGCTTCATTGTCTGCAATAGAGGTAATGCTGAATGGATATTAAATCTACTCATCTGGGTGCAACAGGGGCTGTTGTGGTGAAAATCTAAAACACACACACACACACACACACACACACACACACACACACGCATACAAGTAACAGGGCATTGGAAGGACGACGGGAGCTGGATGGTCGGATTCGCAACCCCCCCTTTTTTTCCCCTTCCTCTCTCTATCTCTTTCCCCTTTTCTGCTTCCTTTTTCCCTTCCCCCTTTGACCGATAAATAGGCGGGTTTTGGGTTGTCGTAATAAGCCCTTGGACACCTGGAATAGAACACGAGAACAGCTGGCTCTCGGACGAGAACGAACAACCAGGAAGGGACTTTTAAGGGGCACTAGCTGATTTCGGATCTGAAGTACGGATCGGCCTTTTTTTTCCCCCCGTCACCCCCAGTTTCGTCCCAAACTTTTTTTCTCCTTCCTTTTTCTTTTTTTGCTTTTTTCTTTTTTTTTTTCTTTCTTTTTTTCTTTTTTTCTTTTTTTCTTTTTTTCTTTTTTTCTTTTTTCCTTTTTTTCCTTCTTTTCCGTGCGTAGGATAGGCACGCATAGATGCATGGATAGCCGTGGTAGCTTCTTCTCTAAGGCTGTGACTCGAGGACACACATCGTGACTATATCCCGAACCTTTTTTCCTCTTTTCCTTTTTTTCCTTTTCTTTCTTTTTCTACCATACGTAGGATTGGCACACATAGATGTATGGATAGACGCGGTAGCTTCTTCTCTAAGGCTGTGACTCGAGGACACACATCGTGACTATATCTGTACAGTACACAGGGGTTCTATTCACCGCTGCACGACGCGAATGCTCAAGCGAGGCTTCTGTATCTACCGCGTTTTCGAAGGACTGGTGAATCCGCGGGCGTCATGGACTTTTTCGCGGACTGGGACCTGGAGGACGAGCAACGGGATGTGGAAGAAGTGGTAACGTCGCTGTAGGACGGCACTTTCCCAGCTCTCTGACCACGTCCTGGCACCGGGCTAACCCGTGTTCGGCCATCATGCACGCTGCCCCTACCTGCCCCGCTGAACCAGCTCCAGCCATTCCAACCCTCGCGCCGGCGCGGGGCACCGCCTTCTTTCTCATCCTCCTCCTCGCCATACTCCCCAATCTCGCCATAGCCTGCGCACTGCTGCTCGCATGCCTATCGGAGGGCGTCTTTCTTCAGTTTATCGGCGGGACGCTTCGTGATTGTAGTCGCGTGCACCATCTTCTACGCAACCCTCTTCCTCGCCGGCTGTTGCTGCTTGTTCTTCATCTTGGGCGCTGCGGAGCGCGTTGAGTACTGATCGGGCTACAGTGGTAGAGCGATGGAGCGTAGAGCTATTGCAGAGGATTCCTCATGCGCCTTTCTCACCTTTCTTGCGTTCCTTTCTTTCCTCTCTTTCCTCTACTTCATCCACTCCCTCCCCTACCCATCTCCGCATGGATCCCCCTGCCCCCTTCCCTCCACCCAGCCCTCTTTTCCCCTACCTCACAATCCTCCACCTCCGCCCCCCCTGTCTCATAAACTAAACACTTCATCAACCTTCACCTCCCCCTTGCCTTCCAGAATTCATGGAAGATGTCCCCCCCTCCGATGACGCCCCACGTGGCATGGGGCAGAAAAGCGCTTTAGGGAGCTGCCACCCCCTTCCCGCAATTTGGCGAGATGATCTACGCAGCTACAGGAATGCGCCGATCTGGAGGAGAGAGCTGAAGCGGGATTACCTTCTTTCCCTCCCCCTCCCCCCTTCCCTCGTCCCTCTTTTCCTCCCTTCTGTGTCCCTGGTACCTGGCGGGAGTTCTGCGGTAGAAGCTCAAGGACGACGGTGTAACTTTTTTTGTATTGGGATGAAACTTTTTTGTTTCCACTTTTTTTGAGAACGCGCCTATAATGGTCATGCTGTGTTTGATCCCTTGATCGGGACGATCTTGTGTGATGTTTCTTCTCTCGTCTTCGCTTTTTCCTCTTTTACGAAATGCTTTCGGGTGCTTTGTCAATGAATGGACCAATCGATTGCTTTATTCCCTTTATGACTTCTCGACTCATGCGCACCCTGTTCTTTGCTGACGGAACGATTACAGTGAATCGAATGCTTCAGCGGGAATTGTTGATAAGCATCTTGTTTTCCTTGTTGCTTCTTCCTTTTTTCTTTCCTTTCTTCTTTCTTCTTCTTTTCTTTTTTCTTTTTCCTCTTTTTGATGTGTTCTCTTCTCCTCTTTGCAGCTCCATGTTTCTTAAACGACGATCTCATGTTTTCACTCTCATCTGTTTATTTGCATTCCTCCTTTTTTTAGCTCGGTTGAATCAGATGTATTTTTGAATAAATGTTTGCCTTCTTTTTGGAATTCTCCCCTCCTTATGTATGTATCATCGCYGSCCCCTTGTGATGCGAAGCACCCCTACCCCCCGTTCTTTCGCTTCGCCGCGAGCGCAGGATTGGCCTACTTCACCCGGTAAACGGCCACCTGATTACCCTCA